TCAAGTGTAGGACCTTGCACTTGTCATGGTTAAACTTCATGAGGTTGGCATCAGCCCTCCTTACAAGCATGTTGAGGTCCCTCTGGATGGCATTCCTTCCCTCCAGCATATCAACTGAATCACACAGCTTGGTGTCATTGGCAGACTTGCTGAGGGTGCTCTCAATCCCACTGTCCATGTCAGCGACAAAGATGTTGAACAAGGCCAGTCCCAACACCAGTCCTTGAGGGACACCACTCGTTATTGGTCTCCAGCTGGACATTGAGCCATTGACCACAACTCTTTGCATGCAGCCATCCAGCCAATATAAATATGTCCATCTAGTATTGGGTCTGTCTCTAGATTTGAGAATGTCTTCTAGATTTGCATGCCTTCAGCTTTCTATAGACTTTCAATTTATAGACTTTGGGACAGAATCTGCAGGTCCTCTTTACCTTGGACTCGTGGTGACTGAGGGAAGAACAGGGGAGAGGAGACCAGGAGAAGATTATTGAAACCGTTGTCTGCTTTTAAAATAATTTGTGAAAATAAGCACTTTTTAAGACCTGGTGGTATTTTCCAGAAGTAGCTTGGTAAAAAAAGAATTATGGTGCTGTAAGGCTGGAGATTCCCTTTTCAACTATGAGCATGTGAGGGTAAAAGTGTGTGGAGACTGTTTGCTCTCTGATGTTGAAATAAAGAGAGAAGCAATCCTTGCTCTGGGAGTGCTATACATATATTTTCGTCTTTACCCCGTTTACTCCCACACCCATCACTGTGGTCCCGATGTCAGTCTTTATGTCCACTAGTGCCTCCCTCAATGGTATTGCTGTTTGTGTTCCCCATTCAGATGCGCCAGGGGCGAGGTAGGCTGGGTGAGGAAGACTCCGACGTAGATATTGAAGGGTTTGATGAGGATGATGATGGGAAACCTAAGACTCCAGCCCCAGTGAGTATATTTACAGAAATCCCAGCCACATGATGACTTGCATGCTTATGGCAGAAGTCTTAATAGTATAAGGGCTGTCTTCTGTGTCTGCCACCCCGAAAGACAGCAGTATCGATAGCAATAGCTACACTTTTAAATGTAGTTTAAAAATATTAGTATTATGAAATGAATGAATACTTCATATTGAGTAGTGTAATAAATCATAGGCATGTCATGGAAATGGCAGCAGTAGTTTATATGCTGTTTGACCTTCACTATGCCTGTATGACCTAGGAAGTTGAAGATGCAGATGGTGACCTTGCTGATGAAGAAGGATCAGCACAGCAGCCCCAGGCCAGTGTCCTCTATGAAGATTTGCTCATGTCTGATGGAGAGGATGATGATGAGGGCAGTGATGAAGAGGGAGACAATCCTTTCTCATGTAGGTGTCCTTTTTTTATAAAAGGTTGAATAGGAACTGGTTGTTTGCAAACTCAGCTAATCTCATGCTTTCATCACAAAAACATGCATTAGAGAGATCAGAGCATACCTGGGATTACATAGGCCACATGCTCTAGCCATCATGAAGGAAGACAGACCAAAGAGCAAGATGAGAAAACTGGCTGACCATAAATGGAACTGAAAACAAAGAGGAGTAGGAGTGCTCTAAGTACAGACACAAAAGAAAGCAGACTTAAGACAAGATTTGGTCAACTGCATTTCATAAAATGAAACTGCACATGGTTCTGGAAAGACTGAGACTATGATTTGTTGTGCAGAGCCAAGAATGGGCAATTTAGTAAAAGCACAGCATTCAGTTTAGTAAGAGAGAGTGTGGTCAATGTATCAAGAACTGGAAGAGGTGTCTGGAGGTTCTTCAGATGATTTCCCTGTTTTACTAAAAAAATTTGCTATGCAGAAAAGTTCATAGTGGCAGTTAGTGGTGGTTTCTGAAAATTATTAGGGGCAACGATGGGGAAATTATTTGAAGTAGACAAGCAAATAAGGTCTTTTCGAGTAATGGTGGTTGTGAGATTGCTTTTGAATAACATCAGAATTGGGCACTCAGTAAGTGGTATCGCCTTACAGATAGCCTTTCTGCTACCTTGTGGAGACTACTTCATACACATGCCTTACAGTCCATATTATAGCCTTTAAGCAAATAGAGTGGGTATGTAACTGACAGAACAAAACTGTTGGATTTGTGACTAAACATTGCTTTGTTACACAGGTATTCAACTAAGTGAGAGTGGCAGCGACTCTGATATAGAACCCAATGCAGTGAGACCTAAACAACCTCATGTTCTTCAAGAAAACACACGAATGGGCATGGACAATGAAGAAAGCATGATGTCTTATGAAGGGGATGGTGGGGAGACAACTCATGTTATGGAGGACAGTAATATCAGGTAATTGGAGCTGAAAATCCCTTCTCTTCAAGATTTCTGAACTGTTTATCATAAGAAGCTAAAGATTATCTGATTTAATTTTTGTCACTGTTTTTAATGTTGCAGCCATTATTACCATAATTGCAATTTACTACTTATTGACAGAAATTTGATTCTGCTGTTAGATATTCACTAATAAAAGCATTAGCTAAATTAAAAAAAAAAAAAAAAGTGTTTTTTGTCAGATGATTTCCTGTACCCAGTGGTTTTTGAAGACTACTAAAGGCTTTTATAAGTTGTTTTGGAAACTGCAAGATGCCTTTGAAATTCACAGATAACTTAATTAATTCACGGGGTTTGGTTTGTTTTTTTTTTTTTTGTTTTCTAAGAACAAGCATTTTCTTACTTGCAGTCCAAATGAATAGGAGTATGCATAGTCAGTATTTTGTAAGGAGGTCCATTATTAGAAAATGACAAGTACAGCACTGACTGGAGAGAATCTACTTTCTTCTGTGGCCATTCCGTAGAGTATTAGCAATAGATTCTCTGGGGTTTGCTTGTTTTCCTACTTGTGAAATTTAGTCCTTTAATGTTACTAATAGCATTACTTTAATGATATTATTATGACATGCCCAGTAAATTACCATAGAGGTAGCTATGTCACGTCAGGCAAAGGGTCAGTCCAGCCCAGTACCTTGTCAGTAGTTAGCAGAAAATGTTAGAGGAGATGAGAATGGACCGTCTACCTGCCTGTCCACAGTAAAGGTGATAGATGGAAGGTGTTGGACTGATGTTTTTCCTCCTCTGGGTGCATTAGAGTAGGATGAGGATGCTGAGAGACAATTGTTTCATCAGAACTGTGGCTATTTTTTTTTAAATCTGGCCACTGGCAGAACTGAAGTGTACAGTGGTTCTGAGTGTTCCACAAGGACCTCAAGCCAGGGAACTTTTACAGGAGTTAAATACAGAAATGTCAGTATCAGCAGTTGATATGAAACAGTGGTATAATACAAGTATCTTCTTTCTTCCAGTTACGGCAGTTATGAAGAACCAGACCCAAAATCCAACACACGAGATACAAGTTTCAGCAGTATTGGAGGGTATGAGATCTCAGAAGAGGAGGAAGAGGAAGAACAGCAACGCTGTGGCCCAAGCGTATTGAGTCAGGTCCATCTGTCTGAGGATGAGGAAGACAGCGAGGACTTCCATTCCATGGCAGGAGACACTGACCTGGATTCAGAGGAATGAACTCCCCTTCCTGAGCTGATGGTCATCCCAGTTTGGTATAAGGAACAGTATAGTGTGGACTGTATTAGCAAGAAGTAGATTTTTTTAATGTTGTATTTTAATTGCTGTGATAAAAATGTGTAATGTGATTGAATAAATGGTAAAAAGTAAGCCTTCGACACGCAGGCCCTGCTGAGGTTTTGGGCTGTTGTAGCCTGTGTAAGCTCCAGAATGAAGATTTGTATGGTTTGTTCTTCAGTTTTAGGTCAGTATAGACATAAAATAATTTCTCATCAATACTGGCCTATTGGATATATGTACTTCTGTCAGAAAAAAAAAAAAAAGACTACTTGGATTAAAATAGCTGCAGTTGATGACCTAGGAAATCATCATTTCATGATATAATGAAAGGTTTCTCTCTGGGACCACAGCATGAAGGCCACGGCCAGAACCTTACCCCACTTGCCTGTTTTAAATACTGCAGTGAACAGCTGCCCTGGTTTTTGTTTTGAAGTTGCAATTAGTCTGAAAAATCAGAATTTGTGCCTTTGAGTCTTTAGGAAGGTTCATTATTGACAGGGTGCCCTCAGTTTTGGTCACTGGGGAGGCAGGATCAGACCCGAGGCTGTGTGTGGAATTTTGCTGCTGGGGTCACTGCAAAGAAATTCGGGTACTGGGCCCTGCTGCTGCGGCCTGGCCTCGCCTTCGCTGCAGTCCCCGCGCCAGCAGCCCCCCGACTGCACCGGGGGCACCGCACTATGGGAGGTGGGGGTAGTTGCGCACGCGCAACTCCGTTGCGTTTGTTGCAACGACTGTGCGGAAGGATACCTGAACCTGAAGTGCTGCTTAGACTGCAGAGGCCGCTTGTCGGAGAACAGACTTCTCGGAAGGAGACGAAGGAAGTGGTTGTCAAAGTCCCTTCCCCTCGCCGGGCCTCTCCGCAAGCTCGGTGGCTGGCACCTCCCGGACTACTTTCTCTGCAGAAACTAGTTCCGGCCGCAGCCATTGGGCACTTTGCTGCCTTCCGCCACCGCCATTTCGGAAGTTGCTCCTTCAGCGCGCTGTGGTTGTGGGTAGCTCGGGTTTGCGCTGCCCGCCTGAGCCGATTTATTCTCTCCGCACCTGTGGCCCTTTTGCTGCTTCCACCAGAGCTCCGCCGCCAGCCTTTCCTGATGGCGACCTCCGTGGGGAACGTGGCTGACAGCACAGGTACTGTGGCCTGCCGAGCGGGGACGGGCGCGCCGGGGACTAGCGGCGCCGCAGCCCTGCGTAGGCCCGGCCCTGCCTTTGCCGGGGACTGCCCAGCGGTCTCCTTCCCTGAGGCCGGCCCGAACGCGGCTCTCATTGAGCCCTCTCCTGGTGGAGTTTTCCAGAAGCTGGGGCCTGAGCGAGGTGGTGGCTCCCGCCGCCTTTGTGTTCGTCCCCCTCATCGTCTCGGGGCGCCGACTGGCTGTCGCGGCCCGCCCGCGGGTCGGACTCATCCCATAGCGAGTTCCTGTCGGTGGTGCTCTTGGAGGAGCACGGCGCGATTACTTATTAGTGCAGCGCGCTCTTACTGTTTATTACATTTATCCAACTGTCAGGTGACTGCTTTAGAGGACGACGTAGGATAAAAACCTGACCCAAAATGTACGTTGGCTGGTGCGGAAACTCGCTACACTTAAGGAGCAGTTCTTGTGTGGCATAGCCGAGCAGTACAGTGCTTCTCTGGGCAGTAAGATGGAGTGCGCTAGCTAAGGAAGATCCTATTCTACATATAGTTTACAGATCCATAACTTGGGGTATGGGGGAGAATAAAGGAGAAATCGCATTTTTACAGTAGAGCAAGGAAAAGTTTTCTCTTTACTGAAAGGTTGAAGGGGCAACACAGCCTTATCACTCAAATTTTGGAGGGGGAGGCTTTGCAAGGAAGAGTATTAAAAGATGAAAAGTCTGGGGGAAGTAGGGGGGGAAAAAGTAGATTCTCTGGAGAAAGAGGTGGCATAGCAGTACAGAGATACAGAAATGGTGGTGATACAGAAGTGGAGATGGAGAAGCAAAGTGCTGAAATACGGTATTTTGTTGCCCCTCAGCTAGGACTGTGTCTAGTCAGTGAGGCCACAGCATCCTTTTGCGGCCTTGATCTGTGGAGGTGAAAAGAACATGTGTATGCCTGGGGAGAGTCCTGTGCTCCTCGTCCATCACCACCTCCCTTGGTAACTGCTCCTGTCTGGGCCTTAGGTTTTACCTAAATTTAAGGTTGATCATGAGTGTATGGTAAGCGTTTAGGATGTTGCTTCTGGGGGACCCCCCTCCCCCCCCCCAGTCTTGAGTACATTTGTGATCTCTGTGGATTTTATTTTGCCGTTATTTTGTAGATGTCTTAGGAAAAGTCGTTAGCCTAAGTATGCAAAAGTAGGTAAGAGATTGATCTGTCTGTGATTATTCACTGCAGCTGTTTTCTTTGGAAATTGATTCAGCGAGCAACCGTTGATGGCTGTGTTATGGATTCTTTGGGTTGTGGAACTTTTCTTCAGCCAGCTTTCTGTTAAAAAGTTCAGCTCATGTTGAACTGTGATAAAGGTGACCACCCACTTACACTTTTCAGTGATTTTTTTTCAAGGATCATTGCTAAAATATTTGTTTGGAAATAGATGGACTGGCTGTTGCAAACTGAATTTTAAAGATTTGCGTAATATCCTCTGCTGGGCTTTGTGTTGCGCTGGGACTTGGTAAAAGAAAAAAAAAAGTGTTTCACGTAATCTGTTGCTTTTGTTAGCAATTCTTACTCCCACACATTAATTACAGTAATTCTGCAGCACCTTATTTCTTGCCCCGGGAGGTGCAACTTAAGTTTCGCTTTCTGCTTCAGTAGACAAAATGTAGCATTTAGATAATGGTTGGGAGTGTCTTTACAAATGGTGATGAGAATTTAAGTATAAACCTGTTTGGGTTTTCTTGGTGTGTGGTTTGTTTTTTGTTGGCTTTTTTTTTTTTTCAGTTTCCTTTTGGTTTTTGTTTTTCTTCTGCTCCGTCTGGATTCACTATGTTTGCTTTGTGCCATCTGCAGAACTTGAAAATACACAAGACTGCCGGAGATTTTAAACCTGTGTGGCTGTTAACAGGAGGAGGAAGGGAGTGAGGAACAGTGTGTTGGTACTCTAGTACTGTTATTACTATCGGCACTTCGAACGTTTATAAATGGTGCCTCGTTCTCATGTTCAGTAGCAGTTGTTACCTGTTTATTACCAGTGGGTTTAACCAGATACTGAAGTCCGCTTTTCTCTTAGTCATGTTTGGAAACCTATTAAGCTGGGTTCACAGAAAACAGAAATCTAATCTGGCTGAAGATATGTGACTATTAATTTGTTAGATATCTGAGAGTAGCTTTACTAGTTTAAACCTGCTGTGAATTGTGTTCATGTTTTTAGCACTGACAGTTATCTGGAAAAACAACTTCAGTTACACTGTTTCATTTAGTGGTTGTAGTCTTACCCACAAAACCTGCTAGTGCTAAAAAAGTGATTTTGAAAGTGATGTACACAAACCCCAATTTCATAAAACAAACACTACATAGTAACTCTGTACCTAATCTCTTTGTAATTATTTTATTGTCTTTAAAGTTCTCACTAAAGAAGAGGATTTTTATAGTTACGATATAATTGCAAAAATACACATAATGCAAGTGTTGAGGTGCTGCCTTGTATTAGGAAGAATTTATCTGTTTCATTTAAATTCAGAATTTTAAAACTACATCCAGGTGGGAAGTGTTTAATGAATTAAGTGACTTCAGAGAAGAGAAGCTTCCATTAATCAAACCTTTTAATAGTGTGAGGCATTAATATAAAGACAGAATTGAAAGGCCAGAACTTCTTCCTGGGATAAACAGTTGTAGTTTTTTTTTCTGAGCTGCACTTGTGTGTATGTTAATAAAGAATTGTGCTTTGTAAGAAATTTTACTTGCTTTTCACACTTACGGTGGTGTTCTATTTACGTATTTTGCTCTCTGCAGTTGGGTCTTAAATAATATAACCATTTTGTCACTCCCATTCCAGCCAAGCCTCCAGAAGCAGTAACTCATTTCCTGTAACCTGTTTAATGATTCTTTCTGTAGGCCAGTTGCATAATCTTGAAAGTGTGTGTTTGTGTCTCATCAGATTGGTGCTCACCAGCACCAAATTTTGTTGTTTGAGGGAATTATAGAGTATTCAAGGAATGACTTTTTTTTTTTTCCTTAAAGTTTTTGCTTTTGGTGAGGCAAAAACTTTCTTTTGCTGAAATCCTTTGAAGTCTTTGTCTGCTGTCCTTCATTTCCCTATTAAGGTTTTAGAACTTGTTTTTAATATTAAAAATCATAAGATGTAAAGTTTGGGGGAGAGTGAAGGAGAGTCATTGCTGTGTTAGCACTACGACTGTTACGAACCGAAGTACAATATCATGTCATAGAGTCGTAGAATGGTTTGTGTTCAAAATGACCCTAAGATTATCTAGTTCCAACCCCCTTCCATGGGCAGGGGCACCTCACTGCCAGACCATGTCACCCAAGGCTCTGTCCAGCCTGGCCTTGAACACTGCTAGGGATGGAGCATTTACCAGTTCTTTGGGCAACTTATTCCGATGCTTCACCACCCTGACAGTAAAGAATTTCTTCCTTATATCTAACCTGAATGTCAGGAATATCTGTAAAAATACTTGAGGTCAATGCAAAACGTTTGCAAATACTCACAGCCATTACAGTCTGTGTGTTTTTTATTAGCTGATGAAGTCATGGACTTGTACAGGTAATGTTAAAACTAGCAGTAATAGGTTGGGGCACGAACATCTGAGAGTTCAAAATTCGATGTGCTGTAGTGTTTTATGTCATCTCAAACATTTTCATCCTTCAGTTATGTATGTGCTTTTATATTGTTTTTTGGGGGGTGTTGTATGTGTTTTTTTTTTTTTTTGTGTGTGTGTGTGTACGTGTATGTGTTTAGTTTTGTTTTGTTCCCATTATCTAACCTTTTGTTTTCTTCCCTTAAATGTTTTGGTGATTCCCCAGAACCAATGAAACCTATTCTTTCCTTCCAAGGGTTAGCGGAGTTGGCTCATCGTGAATATCAGGCAGGAGACTTCGAAGCAGCAGAGAGACACTGCATGCAGCTTTGGAGACAAGAGCCTGATAACACTGGTGTGCTTTTATTACTGTCGTCCATTCACTTCCAGTGTCGCAGATTGGACAGGTAGGAGACTTAAGGAGCTATGTCAAGCTTTCTTTGTAGTTTGCTTCTCTAATAGTACTGAGCACAGCTGATAAAAGTTGCATTCTAACACTGATTTCTTTTTTTATCGCTGAATGCAAATACTGACTAACTTCATGGCAGCAGTAAGGACTGATCAAAAATAATGGTCTTTCTTTTTGAATTCTGTTAGGGTAAGATAAATACAAATTAGAATGGCTAGCTTTACAAGAAACAACAGATCTTGCCCTTATTCTCATTTTAATAATGCCTGCATTAACTCAGCCATACTTGTATGTACTTGGAGATATTTACATGTGTTAATAAAGGCTTATTTATGCCACCTGCAGTGTGGGGGTTTATGGTTTTGTTTTCTTTTTTTAAGTTTCAAGACTGATTATTTGCTGTGAAATAGCATGCTTAGTTAAGGATTTTTGTCATCTGAAAGTTGGCATCTATATTCTTTCTGCTTTCCTGTTCCTGATACTGCTTTCTGTGCCTCGAGCGTTTTTAAATTCTCTTGATCTAGCTGTAAATCTGTTTGTGCTAATGACCTTTGGACTGAAATTTGCTTTATATAGGCTTCTGAGTGAAGTTGTAATAACAGTTCAGATACAGGGAAAATAAAATGGGGGAAGATTCAATGGAATTTTACATCTACATCTGTCAGCTGTGTCTTGCCTCTTGAAAAGAATATTGAGTGGGACATTGCTTAAAGCATACAAATGTTGAAGATGCTTCACAGGATTTCTGTAGTGTTTTCTCCAAGTGCATCAAGTTCAGTTTTGGTGAGGTGACTTGAGCCCTACTTACTGTAAATGAGAGTTGTTTTTCCTCAGCAGAATCTCAAATAGGAGCAGGGAAGGTGATAATTTAAGCTAGGACCTTAAACAGAACACAGATCTGTAAAGCCAGATTTGTTGGCTATATGTTTGGCTCAGTTAAGCGTGAATGCTCATTAGCAAACCAGGTAAACAGGCAAACACTGAAAATGGTGTCTGTTTGGGTTTTTTGTTTGGTTGGTTTTTTTTTGGCAATTTGTTGAATTTTCTTTCAGGTCTGCTCACTTCAGCACTTTGGCTATTAAACAGAATCCACTGTTGGCCGAAGCCTACTCGAATCTAGGCAATGTGTACAAGGAACGTGGACAGCTACAAGAAGCAATTGAACATTATAGACATGCACTACGCCTCAAACCAGATTTCATTGATGGATATATTAATTTGGCTGCTGCACTAGTAGCTGCAGGTGATATGGAAGGAGCAGTACAGGCATATGTGTCTGCCCTTCAGTACAACCCTGTAAGTAATGCTCTGTTTTTATAGAAGAGCTCCATACTCCCTTGTTGCGAGACACACAAATAGCAAGTTTCAAGCAAGTGATAAACCTTCCCTCTGATCTGTACACCATAAACTTAATAATCTACTTAATACTTCTCTTAAGGATCTTTGAAAGACTTGTGTTACAGAAAGTTTTATATTGCAGTATACTAAGGGATGCTGATTGTGTACTTATCTGTATTGTTGAAATAACAAAAAGCAAGAATTCTCCCTCTAAGCTGAAGTCAGATGTTTTGGTGAATGACCTCATACTTTAGCTTTGTGTGCTTTAAGGTATTATTATTACAGTGAGAGAATCACTGCTCAATCTTGAATGTGAGTTCTTAAAAAATCATCAGGTATTACCTTATCACAGAGTCAGAAATTTCATGGTGGTGAGAGTGGCCTTCCTTATATTTCCACTGGGGGCTGATTTAGAGAAGCATCATTTTTATGTTTCATAGGCTGAAGCTGAGTTTGTCGAAAAGAGGCTTGTATAAAATAGGTCTGGTATTTGGATTTTTGATTGTAACTGTTTTGAATTGACATTTTTAGTAAACTGTCAGACTGCTATCTTCTGTTCATTTTGTATCAAGCTCAAATAATTTGTATAGTACTACTCAATATGGTGAAGGTATCTGCTTCCTATTTGGTTGTATATTTTATAAAAAACAAAACAAAAAAACAAACCAAAAAACCAATACCCCAGAACTTAAAACAGCATTTGTCAGGTGTGCATATATTCTTTTTGCTTTGGAAAAGCAAATGCA